TGGCCGCGCATCAGAGCCGCCTTACGGGCAGCTTCCAGCTGCCGCCTCTGTGCCTCATCGAGGTCACTGGTAATTACACCACGTTCCTCAGGTGGCAAGAAGTCAGGAAACGGGCATGGGGTCCGCAAGGCGCAAGCAGGGCTCGTCACACGCCGCTGGTGCGGCTCGCCTTCCTCGTCATTCCATCCGGGAAATGGAGTGTCAGACTCGTAGTCGACCACCTTCAAATCCCCAACGAGGTCACTCATCACCGTTAGCGTGCGCGGAGCGCGACGCTCGGCCTCATCGAGCCTAGGATTTACATTCCTCGATGCCGCGGGGACATGGTCTGACATGGCACCGTGTGCGGGAGATGAAATCAAATTCTATCCGTGAGCACTGTCGGAACCAGCGAGCTTTGGAGACGTCGGTGTCATTGACACAGGGCTCATTGAGCACGGAAGTCGTTTCGTTCCAACGCAGTGTCTAACGGACACGCAAGCCTCGTTGAGGCAATAATCGATTGGAACTGTAAATGTTCTCAATCTAAATGAGGGAGGTTACACATATCTTGGTAACAGGGGGGGTCACACGGGATGGGGATGGTGTGACCACACCCAAACAAGAATCTTGTACGAGGCTGGATAGCCAGTAATTATACATGTACTTTGATTTTACTATACACATTTAGTATTTAGGAAAATCTATGCCTTTAGAATTACGGCTTTGCCGCAGATAAAAACAAATAAAGTTAGTTTTAAATTAAAACGGAATAGTTAATTAGCCTTGGGTTAAGGTTGTAATTACTCTTGGAGTATGCGGTTTTCGATCCGCTAAACTCGTCCTTTGTCTAAGTATAGAACGAGAGGTCAGTGACCTAACTTACGCTTCCTCTAAGCGCAAAGCTACGGCAGCCCCGCTGCACCAGAGGCAGACAAGACAAGACATACTTGAATATGTGGATTAATTAGATACATTTAATCTACCTATCTGTAGTTTATAAGACCAAGTTGCAACCTGTGGTTTATAAGACCACGCTACATCGAACCGTCCACGGTCACAGCAAAAAAGATCTATACGAGTAACATCCGAAAGATATGTAAAGCAATTTGTGTTCCAGGCGGGCTTGTTACAGTCATATTACCATTGTGCTTTTGTAAGCCAGCCGTATATAGCGGCTGGGGACGGAGCAGTGTCATTACCATCTCCAGCAGCTGAGCTACTATAGGTCTGAATCGCTGAGGATACGCATTGCGATGACGTAGCTCTAATAGCACATTCAAAAACTGGCTCATATGATTTTGAGTTGCGAATAATGGAGGTAATAATCATTTATTCGGTCGTCATGAAATTTAACCCTTTTTTTCTTCCAAAAAAAATCTAGAAAATATATTAAGAAAGTGTAAGAATAATTCCATATCTATCATATATTTTTTCTCTCATATTTCTCAAACTTCACTTCTCAATCAATCACATGCGGTCTATTGATGTGTGGCGGCTCACGTGGTTGATTGCCGCATCAAGTGGATTGCTCTCATTCCAAAGTAAATTCTGTCAAGGTTTCGTTTTACATGGCAAACTTCGTTCTTCTGTAGTCTTGTCTCGACTTCCTCTCGTCTCGTTGCTACGTGTGGAGGTATCAAAGAGCTTGTATACGTGGTTTTACCTTATCGGTGCACTCCACAGCATTGGTATACTGTGGATTGCAGTCTTTTATCAAGATAAACCTGCAGTGCAGAAGGCACTACACTTTGCTCATCCGATAAGTAATCAAGACGACAACAATATTATTGCGCTTCAGCCACATACGATCGCATTTTTGACACTATTTTCGATACATACGACACGGCGCTGCCTTGAATCATTCTTGATTACGGAGTTTGGGAAGGCCAAGATGCATGCATCCAGTATGTAAATAGCATGAAGGTAGTCATTGTGGTCGCTACTAATTATCATGGTTGTAGTCTTTTTTGTAGGTATTTATCACTACATTGCAACAGTGCTTTCTGTTCTCTTTGATCCGGACTCAATTACATCTCACGAGCTTACGACGTCTCGTACTATGATGAGTGGATTGGGTATCATGATCTTTATCATGGCATCGTATCATCAAAGCTACTGCAATTATCTCTTAGCACAGCAAAAGCGTGCTAACAACATGAATCATGTGATTCCTCGTGGTGATTGGTTTAACTTGGTGCGCAGTCCACTATATACAACGGAAATCATGCTTTACATAGGGTTTATTCTAGTCACAGGGTGTACAACCACGATGCTCTATTTTGTGTCAATTTGGGTGGTTATCAACCAAATTTTACTTGCACAAATTAGTTCAAAATGGACCGAGACGAAATTTCGTGATCAAATTGAGAAACTTCCGAAATGGAATCTTGTGCCGTACGTCTGGTAATGCACATTGCTCAAAACACATCATTACTCGCTTTTCTTCTTCTTTTGTGGTGTTTCTGACTCTTTCGTCTCCTCATCATCACTATCATTGTCATTCTTTTCAATTCTCTCGTCTCTCTTTCTCTTCTCGTCACCACTCGTATACGCTTCCTCTTCCTCTTCAGTAGCCCACACTTGATTAATCGTATTCTTCTTAGCTGCCTCCTCTCGAGCGATCTGAATCCGGGCTAAATACTGTCCATACTTATTACCAAAGATATTGTGATATCCTCCAGGTCCAGAAGCACATCCTCTGCAGCCACTATGTTTTTCTTGTATTACTTGCCCCTCTGATAGCTGCTGTCTAGGTACGCGGCAGATACTGACTGTCCCGTAATTATAATTCTTGGTATTAATGGCAAATGTACTGCATAGGCGTTCGTAGCCTGGTTTCTTCCACTTGGCAATGAGATTCGAATCCACCAATTTACGACGTATGCAGTAATCATACACCTCGCGTGAAATCTTTTTATACTTGTAGAACATGTCATAAACGTAGCGACTTCGCTGCCAATTAATTTGATGCACAGGCCATAGCGCTTCACATTGTCGCTTGCCTTCATGTGGCTCATTCATTCTTTCACGCAATTCTCTCTCCAGAGCATCCATTACTGGCTCAATATATTCATAACCCGCAGGTGCACGAACTCTCTTGCTCCACTTTGACATCTACACCAGTTGTAAGAATAGGAATATTGTGATTAAAACGAAGGTTTCCCAGAATATTAGGAAATCTACCCAAATTTACTGAAAAAGTAAAATGTTTTCATTAAAAATTACAGTCGATGACCTTTATAACCTTGTCGACGAGCCAGATTCTCCTGGCGTTTAGTTACGTATGCCAATGTTTGCTCGTATTCTAAATAGCGAGGATTGACATTTGATCTTTGCAATCGTTTTTTCCTCCATGCTTGATTTTTCGTAGTTTTCGGCATATAATCACAAATTTGAGGCTGAGATTCTTCGAATATTACCTTATCGTCGAGATTTCGAGGAGTCCAATTTAACATGCTACCGCTTGTCCATTCACTGTGCCGATGAGCCGCTAAGTTTAATCGATCGGCTACATATGCTTGAAAGTTACTCGCTCCAATTGCATTAACAGTATGAAATAGATTTTGTTTCAATGTCATCACGCGTCCGAAACGTTTGACAGATGAAAAAGTCCATACTGCTTGAGCTTGTTGCTGAAGTTGTTTGAAATCTTTTTTGTGATACGTTGAAATCGTAATAGTCAAAGAAACGTTGACGTCATTTATTGTAGTATGGAATTGAATGTGATTGATTTGTATCGTAGGATGCCAGCGAGATAAAGATGAAATGTTCGTCACTTGCTCATCAGCTTCTGTGTTGGTAAACTTAACACGTTGGCTATACATTTCAGCAATGTGAGTAAATGTTTTTAATATATTCAAAGATTGAAACAAGCGTCATACGCACCATAAAGCCCAAGAACGAATTCGAAACATGGAGAAAATGTTGCTGTGCAGCATATCGTTCCTGCCGTTTATCTTATTCGACATATTCATCGTGATATCTAATACCGAAGCGATGTCATCGTGAGAAATGATAGACTACTAATATATTAATTTTGTAAACATAAAGTGTCTATGGTCATTAAAGAATGTACACTCCAAAATGTCATCAATAGTAAAATAGCACGAGTTTATCGACTTTCCGAGCTACAAACTGATATGTTTAATATATCAATATCTATCATACGATAAAGTAATATAATTATCTAGCTACAATCTTTCAAACTCATTCCCAAACCATAAATGTCAATTACATTCTCTGACATCAAACGAATGATGTCTAAACAACCGATTGACTTCTTACGTCTACAAGAGCCAAACATTCAAATTCAATCGTTATCTCGTTAACCACACAAGTTCAAAGTAAGAAATTACTCAAATTCAAATGGCCGAATTCTCGCGACAGTCAAAACGCATTTATCTGGTTCGATCATGTTCAAATTATCTTCTCAACTAACTTCTTTCTTACTATCTTCTTTGTTTATGAAAGAGTGATCGCTATATTCCTGCTCGATCAACCATAGATTTCAACTATTGTCACGAGATAATGACAATCGACAAAAGTTCGAAAACCCTCAATTTCTCGTCTTCATACAAGAATCTTCTCCATGTCAATTATTATCCAATTACTTCAAGAGGTGACCCAAACCCACTCCTAGCCATTCGAACCTCATCAACTCATCCAATTCTTCCCACGAACATTCATTCTCCACATCTTTCGTCTCATACTAACAATTTCACGTTTCCTTGTTCCTTTTCACCTTCAATGATCTTAGATGCACCAAATCTTCGTAATGATTTTTACTTAAATCTCATGGATTGGAGTTCAAATGGTCTTTTGGCTATTGCATTAGATCAAAAAGTTCATTTATACACATTTCAAACAGGTGATATCGAAACTCTTGACATTTGTACCAATTCAAATGATTATGTTACTTCAGTACAATGGGCACAAGAGGTACCAAGTGACAATAAAACTTGCCTACTTGCAATTGGTACTTTTTTCTCTGAAGTACAACTTTGGAATGTCACAACGTTAACAAAACTCCAATCAATTCAATTTCAATGTCAACGTATCAGCTCATTAGCATGGAATCAACATCATCTTCTCGCGTCAGGATGTCAAAATGCATCCATTCAATTCACTGATTTTCGATGTGCCCAATCATTGGTACAACAGGTACATTGTAATCCAGGAGAAATTTGTGGATTAAAATGGTCTCAAGATGGTGATATATTAGCTTCTGGAAGTCATAATCATGAATTATGTTTATATGATCATAAGATGATCCGATCCAATGAATTCAGTCTTCCAATCATGAGAAATCAAGAACATCAAGGTCCAATACGAGCACTAGCATGGAGTCCATATAATCGGTACACTTTAATTTCAGGAGATGGTACACTCAATGGTACACTGAAATTATGGCGAACATCTAATGGTACATTACTCCATTCTGTACCAACAAATGCACAAGTATGTGCCATTGCTTGGTCCAGTACAAGTCATCAAGTGATTTCAGCTCATGGTCATGGACAAATGTCTAATCAACTTGTAATATCAAATGATTCAACATTACAACAAATTGAACAACTTCAAAGTCATACAGCACGAGTATTAAACGTTGGAATTTCACCTGATGGTACAACTGTAGCATCTTGTAGTGCTGATGAAACTCTTCGTTTTTGGAAAGTTTTTCCACTGAAACGAGTTTCAAAACAATATCTTGAATTTCATCTTTCAGTTATTCGTTAAAGTTTGTGTTTTTTATTCCATTCGTTGTTCCGAAATTCGTTCAAAACGACGAGAATCAGGACATTTGATGGATTTTGGTGGACCAATTTTGATTGATCCACGATAACTTCCACCTGCAAAACTATTTGATGAGCCAAGACGATGTTCTCGTGTACAAATATAATGACCAGGTAATCCATTTGATGGAATTAAATATCCAAAAGTAACCGTACGAAATGATCCATCACGTCTTGTTGGTAATCCAGAAATTGGAACAACAGGATCAATTTGAAAACTTTCATCATTTGAAATCAATCGAATTTCTAAATTGAACATACTTGCAGCAGCATATAATTCCGTAATTGTTGCTTGTTCATCACATGTATCTCGAAAGGTTTCGAATCGTTCACGTACTTCCTTTTCATCTTGTAAAAGAAACTGTGCCAATTCTTTGGAATAATTTAAGGCATAATTCATTAATTGTTGACGTAAATATTGTGCGGCTGCAATTCGTCGTGGTGCCATTCCATCAACTGCACCAACATTAACAATTGTCATATTTGCTGGATAATCTTGTAGACATTGTAACGGATACATTTCATAAACCAAACAATGTAATAAACAGGATCCATCGGGTGGCATTCCAACACCTACAAGACCCAATTGAAGTAAACGATCTTCCATTTTAGCACGTTGTAGATCAAGTTTTGGATCAATTGATGAAGTATTTCCTACTTTTAAAGAAGCTGAAAACCAACTTCCTCGATTTGATCCAATCATTGAATCACGTGGTACAGTCAAAGATGTACGTACAACACTTTGTGGTACACTTTGTCGTACAAAATGTTGAGTTCCTAAAAAACCGGTTCCCGACCAACGATATTCACTAACATTTGATGTAAATGATGAAACAGTTGAAAGACTTGAAACGGAACGAAAATCATCATCTTCATCACTTAAAACACTTGATGTAGTTTGTACAATTGTTGGTGATGCTAAAATGGAGGATGAAGGTCGAAGATGAACATGTTGTTGTTCATATTCAGCATTTGAACCAAATCCCGAATGAAAAGCCACAAATGTTTTTAACGTTTGACTACTTACTGCTGTCATATGAAATGCTACTAATTGTGCTTTTGATGTAATCACATGCATATATGTATCCAATTCTTGAGTTCGAGATTCGAGAAATTCACGACTTTGAACAATTCGAAATAATGTACGACGACGATAACGTGGTGGAAATTTCACACCTTTAAGTAAGGAAGATGTACGTTTACGTAATTGATCGTCCAATTTACGAAATGCTGAAAATGTACGCCAAATGTGCCAACTTGTACGACCAGTAGTATGAACACGTGAGGAATAGAAAGAAAGTTGGACGACCACTTGATACTCGACTTTTTTACCATTATAACGATAATCTTTCACTTGAATCTTACATGTATAATCACCTTGAATATCATCAGGTGTCATGATCATGAAGACGAGAAGAAAAGGATGGAGGAATGAGAGAAAGAGGGGGGAAGACCAAAGCTGTACGCACAGGAACTGACTGACTCGACGTTTCTATTTTTCGAGCTTACGATCGAAAAATAGAATTTTAGCCAATTAGAAAGAAACGTGGATGTACCAAAATGGTACAATGCACAAGAATTCATGAGAAAACGTGTAGAGAAGGTAGTTCTTTGCTTCTTATCGTACGTATGACATCAAATGTCGTCGTTTCTTGCACTTTTACCTCAAGATGTACGGAACTACGTCATGAGTGGGAACAAGTGGGGGATTATGTAGACCACATCATGTACCACTTTTGATTAAACCAGTCATTTGTAACATGTTTCATCGTATTGAAATGAATGAAGTGACTGAAGATGGAAATGTCCAAACGATTGTGGAGTCGTTTGTTGAATATCAAGTAAATATTGGCTGTTATCAATGTTATCTCTATTTTACTCGAACTGTACCACTGGATATCACGAAATGTACCATTCAAGGTACATTTTCACGGATTGCATTGGTGTACCCATGTGAGAATGATGATGAAGTTGGTACAACGACTCAAGTACTTTGGTATCTTGATATTAAACAACATGTTGACATTTCAACTTGCACAATAGAAGACAAGAACGATCATTGGTACATGCGTCTTCCCGTCCATTCAAATACATCGCATGGTTTCTCGTCAATCTCAAGTCATGAGTTAGAAGCAGAGAATTATGGTACAATTTCATGTCGAACTTGTACCATGCCATTGGTACACTCGAATATTATTAACAAAGTCTTGCCATTACCATCTACCAACTGGATGGATATGTTGGACTTTTGGGGAGCTGGAGATGGTGCATTTGAACATATTCCACGTGAAGGAATTGTAGCACAGCCGCATCGTGTGCTTGTAGGTGAGTCTTTTGTATTACTACATGTTCAAGATTTTCTGGTACATGCTATTGTGGCACATGGTACCACAACAGAGGGGGAATGGGTACCATTGAAATGTACCAAATGTTGTGTTTCAATTGGTTTGTCAAGTTTCGATCATGTTGAAACTATTCGTCTTGATAAACATTTGATACATGCTTCAAAGAATACAATGACAAGTTTGGAGGATCAAGAGAATGTTTTTGCAACATATACTGTTGATAGTATCGTATGTGCCAAAATATTGGAACAAGCAGATGCTGATGGTACCTTTCGTTTTCGTTTGACAACTGGTACACTTGGTACCTCGATGAATTTACAACTTTTAAGTTGGAATACCCTGATCAAACATCGTCATGTCCCAACATTTCGACGTGTACTCAAAGTATTGTACAAACATGATCAAGTCTTGTCCGATCATGCGTACGAAATTCATCTTTCAACTAATATGTACGCAACGATCGTCCAGCGACTTCAAGTGAGTACAACATTATTACCAGTTTCATTACAAACATTTAATCAAATGTCAATTGGATATTTGTACGCATAAGTAAATACAAAATTTTCAAGTCATCGTACAAACACTTAAGATTTGATTTCATTAGAAGCCCAATAGTCCATAATATCTAAAGCTACTTGACAACTTTCACGTACAACTTGAACGTTATCATTAAGATGATGCGTTAAAATCTTCTCACATTCAATTGTACCAATTGCACCTAAAGCTTCAGCTGCTTCATGTCGTACCATTCGATGTTGTGTTTGATCAAGTAAAACTTTGGTTAAGGCTGGTACAAGCACTGGATTTGCCATTTGTCCCATTACATAAGCAACTTCATGTTTCAAAAGTGTATTTGAATCATCAAATGCTTCAGCAAGAGCTAAAGCTGCTTCGTTTGTATTGCGATTTCGTAGTGAAAATAATGCACGGTACCGTAAAAACATGTCCGCACGTGGATCCAACAAAATGGTACGTAGTTCCACTGTTGACATGGTCATTTCGGCAGCTGGTGCCGGATCTTCTGATAAGTACGGATTTTGATCCACTTGAGCTTCATGAAGTGTACCATTCGCTTTGGCACTTTTGTAATGTACCAATTTAAGTGCCAATTTACACGTTTCCGAAATTTCAGGTGCGGGATCGTGACAATATTTTTCTAAAATTGAAACCGAATGTACCGATCCAATGGCACCCAAAGCTTCTGCTACTTCATGACGTACCATCACATCGTCAGTTTCATCTGCCAATATTTCATGTAATATTTCACAAGCTTCTTTCTTTTGAAATTGACCAATAACATACGCCAATTCATGACGCATAAGCTCCGAGTCTTGACGATTCTTTAAGGCTTCAAGTAAAACTTCCAAATCTTCCAAATTTCCACGGGTACGAAGATAAAAAATTGCACGTGTACGTTTACCAATTGGTTCAGTAGGATTGAGTAATGCAGTGCAAAGTTGGTCAAACGAAGGCGTAGCAGGAGATGACGACATGGTTGTTGTTAATGGTTGAGAAGAAATTTACTTTTTAAACCAATGAAGTAAGAAGTGGAATTATGGTGTATGTACATAATTCTTTATCCCAAAAATAACTTCGCCGAAGCTATGAATAATTCGACATTTGAATTCTTAAGCTTTGAAGTGATTATGGTGTCAAGAGGTTCGAGAATTCATCATACACGACAAACAAGCAATCCATTCATGATAACGAGTTCTGCTAATGTTGGTATTGATTTCAATGAAAAAGTGACATTTCATGCACCTAAATTGAGTAGCAGCTTGAGCCAAAATGACACTGAAGATGATTTTCAACGATCAACAAACACTTTGACTGACTTCATGTATCAAACAACATCTGGAGCTTTTGGAAATATTTCTCAAACAACGAATCGTAGTCGATTGAGTCAGCGAATGGATAAATTGACAGTTCAAAAAGGTTGATAGAAAAGTTTTGCATCTGAATGACTGACTTTTGGTACTAATGTCGTCTTGTTTACAGAGGTTAAAGCTTCTGATCTTGTTGTCATTCGACAAGTTGATGTAGTAACACCGGAAAGTTGTGCTATTCGGCCTGAGGATCTTATGCCTACACCTATTGACGTCAAAGCGATCACGGAAGGTCAGAATCAACATCCTTTATACGTCACTAGCTATCGAGACATTGGTGCCGACAAGGCACAGCTGAAGGTTGATGCTGCACGACTTGGTCGGCCAAATACCTTTACAAACTCGTTCAACGGCTTCCATTATCGCGATTTTGGATTAAACACTGCAGTGTCCAAGTCCCGTATCTGCGATCAGCTGGATTTTACTTAGATTTAACATTCATCTGACTCCAATATGAAAAGAGATCTACAATTCAAAACGAATGTTTTTTATTAATTCTGTCACCCTTACAAGCACCAAAAGCGTTTGTAGCAATAGCATTGATTTCTTCCTTAATCATAGCCTTTTTTCGAAAAGTCGACAAAGACTGTTTCCTTTGCAGGTAACGGCGTCATATCAATGTTAATGCCTTCAAGTGGTGAGACCTCAACGTCGTCCGGAATAATTCCATCTGGAAAGCATACATCCAATGGAATGGGTGCGTTACGCATATAGAGACTTCCTCCAGGCATGTAGTTGAAAATATAGCGGTCCGGATGCGTATAATGGTCCACCTTCTCTTGTGCTTCACGCACAAGGCGCTTTGCCAGACTAGAATATATCAACAGTTAACAATACATAGCATAAAGATTAAATTCTCCATATATCTCGTACCCTGATTGAGGATCAAGCTTTTTATTCGCATCAAACTCAGCACGAATCTTCGTAGCCTCTTCATTCCAAAGGCGGCGGTCGATAATCCACGAATCTAAAGTCTTCAGCGACTTCTTATACAAACGCTGTACCGTTTGCTTATGTGAAAGCTGTGGTGGAGCATTGACAAAGCGTCCAACTACCTCACGAAACGTTTGATTCATATTCGCATTCACTACAGGCTTCACCATCGTCGCTTGACTTGGTCATTCAATTCGAGCAACATTTGTAAAAAGTGGAGTGTTGCATGAAGGTGTTTAAGCCGTTATGGCAACGTAGAAGTCTTATGTTGCTACAGCCGTAATTAGCAACATGGTCATGTACAAAATGGAGCTTAAAGTATCTGATTGCTCAAGACGCAGCCAGATGAAGTATGAGCTTAAGCGAAGAGAGAAAAGAGATGCAAGTTATCAATTGACGAACTTGTTGCAAATGGAGAGTAATCAACTGAATGAAAAGCTACTGATTGCAAGCGAGAAGGGAAATGAACGTGGTGTTTTTCTTCTACTTCATCAAGGTATTGACAAGGATCGATGTCGAGGTCTTGTGAGTATACATAAGTTAAACATTCTAGCTTGAAGTTGATAGTTTGCAATTCATTTTGATTTCAGTTTGGGTATTCGCCAATGCATCATGCTGCAGCTCGAGGACATTTAAATATCTTGCAACTATTGCTTGATTTTGGATGGAATGTTGACATTCGAAACGATGCGATGGAAACTCCTTTGCATCTTGCAAGTTTTAATGGTCATGTTCATGTGGCTGAGTTTTTATTAGACCGTGGAGCGGAGATTAACGCTCAAACGAAAGAGAAAGACACTGCGTTATTTTATAGTGCACGTAAGGGAAAGTATCGAATTGTTCGGCTCTTGCTTCGTCGAGAGTGCGATTTACGCATTAGGAATTGCTACGGTGATGTGGCAGAGGAAGAAGCGCTTGATGCTAAAACTTTGGATGAATTTGTTACTGGAAAACAAGATGTTGAGCGTGCGTTAATTGCGCAATCTCAGCGGATAAACATGATTCAGGTTGACGAAAATGTTTTACCTCAAAAGCTTCGAGAGCATATAATGTCGTTTCTGGATCTTAAAAGCCTCGGCTGGGCTTCTCAAGTATCTCATCGTTGGCATCGAGCTGCTGACAATCCGACTTTATGGAAGAAACTTGGTGTTTCACGGTGGGGATTACTACTTAATGCGACTATGGGGACAGGAATTGTGCCTCAAATGCTTCTGCTTGGTTCAACAACGAGAAACCTCTTTCGCTTAAATCTTTCAACAACTGAAACTCGACGTCCATTTAGCTGCAATCAATTTTCTACGAATACAAATCGACTGCCAAGAGCTCAAGGAAGAATTTGTACGCAGTATCAAGATCAATTACGACCTCAAACTGCTAACTTTACTTCTGACACTTGGAGACGTGGAATTCTACTATAATCTTTTGGTGCTTTAGATTGCGTGGAATGATACTTTGCTTTTGAAAACTTCATTTGTATAAATGTTATCCTTAGTTGCATATATTAAGCATAGTATTGCCTTCTTTCTCGAGCGCAATGAAAATAAATCCAAAAAATATTCATAGTGTTAACTTTGACTAGTAGTCAAAAGGCGATTGCAGCAGTTAGTACTTGATAAATATGAACTTATAATGAATAAGCTCTTATATTGTAGTCGATAAAACATCTTTATCGTTAAATTGAAGTTGTAAGAGCAAAAACAATTTGTGAATATTACATCAGTTAGGATTTACCGATAGTAGTTCCTGGTACTAGTTTTAAACAAGTATTATTATCGGAATATCAGGTTGACTTTATTGCTTCAGAAATATGTTTATGTGTAAGAAGAACGACTCTCTCTGGCACTTTTATTAATTCCTCGATCATTTGCGAGCTCTTCGGACGTCAGATCGACAAGGACATAGACAAATTTCGCTCACTAACAATAATGAACATTTACCACCAGGAAGTAATAGATCAATTACCTAATTTGAAAAAATCATATGCTGCTTGGCTATACAATCAAACGCAAGGTGTAAACTTGAAGGCGTTGATGGCAGAGACGAGAATATCGTCAACTACCATTGCATTTTTTTTATCAAATATATTGCATGTTTTATTTCATTGTACAAACGTAATTTACCCGCCTTATGTGTAGTCGTGTCTGTTGGTTTGTGGGATAGGCATGCGACACAAAAATACGCGCTTGCGGTAGGACATGTGATGCGAATATATTATTAGCTGCTTCACAGCTTATAAATTAGAGAGGGATCCGTGTAAAACATAATGGATAAGTAGCATTAGGCATGCAGATCGAGCAGCTATGGGATGTATTTACGCTGTGATGCACGTACTATTGCAAGTAGAGTACAGGCGGAATGTACTCCCCATGCAGATGTTTATGGATACGATGAGAATGCGTATAGAGAGAATGTAAATATCTATTTTATAAGAACAAACTCACATAAATAAAGCAAATGTAAAAATATTATTATTCTAAATGCAAAAGGATAAATGCAATCTAAACATTTAAAGTCCCCAGAACCGATCATTAAGCTTGTCGCCTATGAAAAAGATCCAAGACGCCTCAGGAAGAAATAGCATTGAATTTAAATCGAACATCTAACAAACTTATAGCTCGTGAGGCCATCAATTGAGTAGGGAAGATTTCAATTGGCAATATAGTAAAAAGACGTCTGTCTCAACAAATCATGAAATTAATATTTAAAGCAGAATATCTCTGTTTAATACCTTCGATAGTCAGATATGACAGTATCATGGATTATGGTCTCTAATCTTTAAGATAGACAAGATTCATCCTTAAAAAATTTCATTTCCTAATTTAACAACTCCACCAGACTTTCGTGCCTTTGTTAGTATGAAGTTGCAAGCAGCACTCGTCGGCCTCTTTGTTCTCAGTGGAAGCGTTGACAACGTATTTGCGATTCCTGAATGTTGTCAAGGAGTATGCACGAACACACACGATCCCTCCATCATTCGACGTGACGATGGAAAGTATTTCCGCTTTTCCACTGGCAACAAAATTGCCATTCACTCTGCCTCTGACATTTCGGGGTCTTGGGAGTATTTGGGCGCTGCTTTACCCAACAATTCGACGATTAAACTACCGGGCAACGATGATCTCTGGGTAATGCACTTAAAACTTTATATTTTGAAAGCTTAGCTGATTCTTATTGTGTTTTATAGGCTCCTGATGTAAACAAAGTTGGTGATACCTACTTTCTCTACTACTCGGTGAGTTCTTTTGGAAAGCAAAATTCTGCTATCGGGATAGCGCAATCGAAGACTATGGAACCTGGTTCATGGAGTGATGTTGGCTCAACTGGTGTCACAAGCGATGCTTCGAAGAGATACAATGCTATTGATCCAAACCTCTTTTTAGTTGGCAGCCAATATTACCTCAATTTTGGTAGCTATTGGCATGGTTTGCACCAGACACCGATGGAGTCAGTGCCAGTCAAGGCCAGTGGCAACGCTCCGTATCAACTCGTCTATGCCTCCAGAGAGGTGGTGGAAGCTGCATTCGAGTTTGCCTACAACGGTTACTACTATATGTTCTATAGCAAGGGCTCGTGTTGTGGTTATCTCCAAAAGCGACCAAAAAAGGGAGAAGAATATCGAGTTCTCGTTTGCCGCTCAACGAGTCCCACTGGAGGATTTATGGATAAAAGCGGAAAAGACTGTCGAAAGGATGGTGGTACTATTGTGCTTGAAAGTCATAGCTTTGTATATGGTCCGGGAGGCCAGGGAGTCTTCGATGATCCAAAACATGGTCCCGTGATCTACTATCATTACGGTAAGCTTTGTTTTTCACTTGACTAATTTGAACTCACTTATTGATCATGACTTTGTATGCAGTGGATACGAGAAAAGGCTATGGGGATGGAGATAAGCTCTTTGGATGGAACAAACTCGATTTCTCGAGTGGCTGGCCTGTTATTATTGAGCCAAAGAAAGAGTGTTAAAGTTCTGTAGTTGTCTTTTACTCAGTTGTTTAAGTCCGCACGCTGATCATGTAAAGGGGTTTTGTTTCAAGATAAATGTGTTTACTATCTGAAAATTTAAATAGTATTAAACATTCAGATTAATATAACCAATCTCAAAATGCTTAATTTGTATTACTCCAACACTAGATTTGTAAGTTTCTGAACTTCATTTGATCTCCTAACTAAAATGACGTCAAGATACTCTCATGTCCGTCAGCTAAGACTGAGGACTTCCAACTTACTTCTTAGCTGCACAAGTATCGTAAAACATACTCGTTTCTTTAGTTCTACCGCCACAGATCTAAGCAACGCCATTGAGGAGCGTTACGCATGTAAATCTTTCTTGTCTACGCCCGTACCCGACGAGACCCTTAAAGAGATTCTACGGCTTACTCAGCGAGGTCCAACAAGTTTTAATGTTCAGCCTTATGCTTGTATCCTAGTACGAGAGATGAAGGATCGTGAAAGACTAGCAGAAGCAATGATGGATAGTAATGCCCGTAAAGTTAAAGAAGCTCCAGTGGTTGCAGTCTTTGCTGCTGATTTAGAGCCTACGAAGCGTGTGCCGCGACTCCAGATGCTAGCACACGACAATGGAGCGTCGGTGGATTTTGTAAACAATATGCCTCATGTTATACGTCTCTTTTCGGGAGAGGGACTAGTGCCTAGTATTTTTCGAGCGATCATTTCAACGGCAGTGTCACCACTACGGCCCGCTCCATCAAATGTATCAACTGAGGCTTGGGCATTCAAGCAAACTGCTTTCGTAGCAGCGACATTTCTTTATGCTGCTCAAGCACATGGTTTAGCAACATGTCCGATGGAAGGATTTGATCAAATTCGCGTAAGGAATCTACTCGATATTCCAGACCGCTACGGTGTGCCTGTTATCATTGCTCTTGGTCATGCCAATCCAGCTGTCAAACCTGACAAACGTTCGGCAAGATTGAGCCCGACAGAAGTTTTTTTTGACGGAAAGTTTGGACATTCAATCGAGAAACTCTTTACGGAGAAGTGAAGGACAGTACGAAAATCGAAGAGAATCGAATTGTAGTGAAGCTCTCGATGCTAATGTGTGACGAAGTAATAATGCGAGATATGAAAATTGTTCTGATCCAAATTTTAATGTCATCATAGGAACAAACGAGAATAATTATTATGCCGCGATGCTCTAGCTCTGAACGAGACTTAAGACGAGATCTAAGTCATAACTCAATGGTTGCTGTTTCAAACGTGGGTAAATGCATAAAGTGATCTGAAAACTTTTCCATCCTCTCAAATTATGTGACGTTCTTCTTCGTTTGGCCGCTTATTTATAATCGATCTAAAGCTCAGAAATGGTTGCACTATCGTGCAATCCGCCTCTAGCGTCTCAAAGAAAGTCACTGACTGTCCAAAGAGCCTAACTTCATAAGGGGGCGCCATGAGATAAACTTGAACGTTCACCAACTGCTGCTCTTCACTCATTGAGCCCAAGTAAAGTTAAGCTTGAGTGGCGGCGGATTCAAGCGCCTTGATAAACTCATTTACACGTGCGGCATTCACTTTCAGCAAATACTGAGTCAATTCGCCGTCATTCACTTGCAATGCCAGTGTCACGCCCGTCGTTTTACCTTTAACCTCGTGTGGACGAACAGCAATTCCCTTGTACAATGCCGCGTTTAGTACAATTTTGCCAATTTCATTTCGGACTAGGATTCGTGAGCTGTTGGTCTTTTTGTTGACAAGAATCTTAAGTGGGTGCACCCCTTTATCAGCCCAGCGCTTTTCAGCCTTTTTAAACTCATAAATCTTCGTCTTTTCAGCTTCAAACTTGCAGTCTTCATCAGAGGAATCAGCCTGTTAACACGTGCGTTAGTATCATTGACAATTACAAATATTGAGTCACTTCGTGACCTTGATGATCACAGTAGCCTCTTCGCGTCCAATATTTTCTTCATTTTCATCGCCACTGGCTGTCGGAATAGGAATCGAAGCACTAGATGCTACAGTGCCAAAACTGAGTCCTCCTGGTGCGTTTGATGACAGGCTAGAAGAGGTCATAGTGCCAAATGAAAATTTTGTGGCGGGGGTTGAAGATACGGAGGCTGCAGGCTTCGGAAGAGCTCCAAACGAAAACGCAGGTGTCGTCTTTTCGTCTGATTCCATTGCGAAGCTCAAAGGTGCAACACTTGATGTAGCAGGAGCAGAAGTTGAATTTAGAGAAAACGGAGAGGGAAATGCACATTTTGTATCATTGATGGCCACAGGCTTCGTAGACGCATGCTTAGTCGCGATCTCCTCGGCATATTTCAAGTACTCCTGAATAATATTGTTATAAATGCCACGCATTAGTCTACAAAATTCAAATTCATCAATCATCGCATACCTGGACTGAGGAATTCCAGCTCGCGCTTGGATATTTTTGTGCTTCGCCATTCACAAAAGACATAAACGCCTTATTAAGTTCCTCCATTGCTTGCTGGTATGAGCCCGCAGCTACAGAATTTGAGCCACTGACGATCTTCACCTCACTTTTATTTGAACTACCCGTAAGTCCAGAAAAGTCCGCAAAAGGGTTAGATGTTGCAGGAGACTTGGTCGTCGTGAGTCCCTAAAATCGCCAAACTGATGAGTTTCATTGTATCTGTTCCCATTATACTACAAGCTCAAATTGAACCTGAAAGCCTTCAAACGGTTTATTTTTCTCCGTAGTTGCCTCAGTAGCAGCTGTCGCCTTGGATGTTGTTGGCAGTAAACGATTGCCGACTCGCGCCTTGACAATTTTGCGCTTGCGGATCGACTCATCGCTTGCACGCTGAATTCCAATCTCAAATGTATCAGTTCCTACATCATCTACTGCAGCCTCGTATTCCTCGCGGCGCATCTGACCGCTCTCGTTGCGTCGCTTTGACATAGCCTACCACGGCAAACCTATGGTTACTGCAAGGTTTATGACGCTTTTAAATATTACAGTAAATTGTTTGGGATATTAATTATTTCCGTATGAGCTGCTTAATACAAATATTTAAAAAGTGTAAGTGTTGTGTAGTGTGTTCATGGAATACTGATATTGGGTGAGACTACACTGGCTAAAGTAGCGCTTATAGAGGGCATGCTGCTGCCTCTGCACCTAGTTCAAACGGTCCAAACACGACTAAAACGGTGTATAAATACATGCTGCGCAAGCACACCACCGAGCAACTCGACATCATATGCCCAATCAAGCGAACCTGACGAAAGCGATCAAACGCGGAAGTCGGACCGCATATACAGCTGTACCGTGGTATTAAGCAGAAAGTATGCTAGTTCGAGGAAAGGGGTCTGTTTCTAAAAGGGCAGGCACAGATTGAATAGAGTTAGAGTAGTCGGGGGAATAGTTGGTGCGTTGGAGCCGTTGGGGTCGATTGCGTTCGAGCCGGATGATTGAGAACAAATTGAGAGTGGGGCGCTGGAATGTGTGGTGGTTGTCGACTTAGAGAAAAAAAACAGCATAATGAATCTCTACTGAGGTACATTGGCTATACATCCGAACGATCACCGGTTTTTCCCGGTCGCCGGCTAGTGAAGAAGCTGAACGGTGTATGTGCCACCATGACTTCGAGTGTGTGCGGTAGCTTGACCCCGAAATCTTGGTCGTACAGACGACACTTGAAGAACCAAACATTAGCGCCGAACGTTGTTGTTATTACTGAGAGCGTAGAAGCAGCACAATCCGGCTATTTTTCTTCCAACATGCACCGGACGCGATCACTCCAGACAAATTACAGCGGTGATCCTTGCGGACGTACCACGCATTGTAATAGGCGTCTTTGCAGTCGTCGCACATAAGCATCCGCCGCCTTACGGTGATATCAAGCTACGTCGGTCGCGCAGTGAAGAAGGGTGCAATGAGGCGAGACCTCCCGCCGTAGATGTTACGCAAGTGCGCAGTCGAGAAAGAGATACAGTCCAGACTCCAAGGCGTTACATTTGTCGCGAGCACAGACGCGAATACTTGAATGCGACGCGTACAAGAATCAGAAGCATGAGCAAACTGGAAGATGACCAAAGAAGACAGAACGCATGCGAGACTGAAAATCTCCGAAGACCAGCAACATAAATTTGCATACGCTGTAGTACGTCTTGATCTGCTGCGCGTCGATTAGCCGCCAGTGTATCTGTATGCGACAAGTTGTTTGGTCTGAGGTTTTGCCGGCATATAGCACGTCTTCTCTCACTTGTCCAGCCCACGTACGGTGTCGTTGGCACATAAAGCGTCAGAAACAAACTGCAACGTGCCGCGTTGCACCATGATCTTGCCGAGCCTTTTCGTCTGCACACCAGGTGCCGTCGACAATAGCGTTTAGTCTATGTGGCGTTGTATGAAACTGATTTGAGTCGGTCATGCGTCACCGTCACGGCGGAGGTCAGCAAGCAACCACAAGCCGAAGTCGCGCGATGCCTACAGTCGGAAGCTCTATTGCGGCTCACGTATCATGCCGAGACACCGGAGATTGGCTTTAGTCGTTGCGGATCGCCTCGTATTTCCATAATGCAGCTCAACTCAGCTTTGCACGTAAGTATACTACGTACGTATATAATCATATGGGTTGAGCTTTGCTACACTCTCACCAATCAAGATGAGAGCGCTTTGAGTTCGAACATACATTTTCTTGAGCGATTACGCAGAAGTAAGATCTCGACGAGCACTTACTACGATATTATATAGTCTACTTGCACCTTATATGCCTCGGAAGTTTTGTATCCATGGCTCAATGCTCCTCTAAAAAGACATAGTCTTTGTGTTCGACACTTAATACCATTTTTTGATATAAAGCTGGTGCGCTTCCTTAAAAATTGGCCATAGAGACTCCTTGATTCCCGGCCCGACACCTCCGTCCTCACCGAGTTGAAAACAGAAGAGCTGTCCACTGTTCACTATGCTCTTTGCATCGGGAAGCGTACCGTATAATGGCCTAAGTACACATGTGAATTTTGTACCAATCTCAGACGTGCTGATGACGATAATAGCTTCCGTAAAGAAGATAACCGACGAACAGGTGCGCTGTTAGTTTCAGATCATTCAGCTGATATAGTTTTCTTGCATATAATTGATAAATATAAATAGTTTTGGAATCGCGTTTAAACTTAGGCAAATATTAGCTTAGAACAGCGAGGCGGACTAAATAACGAGTTTCCTAATATGCTACCGGTTCCGCTCCTGAGGGGGTACACGGGCCGTTAATCTGCGCGTTAGTAAAGATAGACTCATTAAGTCTAAACTCATAATGTGCTAGGGGCTCGGCACTCTGTTGTATTTGGTCGCACTTGTCGTCAGTCCGACGACTGAGGTCTTTTAGACTGTATCATACTCTGTGAGGTTGGTTCACGAAATGTTCGGTGATCTCTCCCTGGGATGATAGACACGCTTTGTAAACGCATGTCTTCGATTTGTGATTCGTTGAGAGAATACAATGGAATTGGAGCACCTAGGGCTGAGAGCTGAGCGGTCAGGTCCTTTACAGCAGACACACGATAATATCTCTTGTCTGGTGATAAAAGCTGAGATAGACATGATTCGACCATGCCTCAGCCGCAGCAAAAGCATCTGACAGAGCAGTGTCGACGTTGGGTGAATGCAGGTATGAATAGGCATGTATGTGCTCTGTAAAAGAGATATTTACAACATGAAAAATGATGAGGTGATAGACATCGCGAGTATTAGTACCACCCTACCAGGCGTAACGTTTGCGCCCAAAATTTGTGTCTATCCATTTAGTGGTGCAAATGTAATCTAAGCATATCCAAGCGTTACGTTCTATCATCATTGCGATGAATGTAGACCCCTCTTGAAGGCGGCAATACTTACTATATTCAAGAAGGTCTCCTCTGATCAGAAGCGATTCACACTGAGCCTTTTTGAGAATCGGCTGGAAAATTTGAGTTGCGAGATCAGCCGTAGTACGGAAGATGAAAGCTCTACGAGACGCCAGAGACAATGTGCTAAAAACATAGATAGAGATTTTCAGCTACCGAGCAGCACTGCTGTTCTCTCTTTAAAAGTATCAAGCATTTACTCCCTCTTTCTCGGTTGAGAGTTACGAAAGATCGGGCTTCTACGCAAAGTCAGCTGACAATCCCCTCGCTTGATTTCATATATCTTGAAGGTTGTAGTCAGTGGGACTCAGCTGCAAACGAATGTCTCACTTTAAAAAAGATGTTCTCATAGCCTAGGTTTGCTGAATGATTACAATATCAATGTCCTTAACTTCGTCAAGCCGTCACGGTCCTGATAAATATAGAAGCATTGTGCAATTATGCAAGATGCGTGAATGTCAAGATCTAAGGCCTTTGAGAGCGTGAAACGTTTAACAAGATCTAAGGACTTTGAGAGCGCGAAACGTTGTTGATTCCTATGATTGGATCTGAGAAAAATTTTATCCTATGTATGGTGTGGCTTGAATGTTATGAACTATGGATGGACTGTTGGTCGGGACCGTTAGGTTGCATTTTTGGTCAAGTGAGGCTTTGTTGAGTCAAAACCTACCTCTGCTAGTTGCATAATTGTTGTAGCGTAGTCCTGAAGCTGCGATAGCTTAAGCACAGGACCTGAACAGATCCGAATCGATAAGCGACGATATTGCTGAGCTTAGAAGGCAAAAGGCTCGATCTAAACACAAGAGAGAAGAAAGTAATCGTTAACCGCTGTTTCGAGAGAGTATTTGGAAATGAGTGACGGTATACAGTGACTTTTAGACTCTCTGTCATTTGGGACGTTTGGGTAATTACAGCTGTCTGCCGGAGTATCCTGTGCTCGAGCTTTTTGACACGAGTAGCAACGACCGCAAGTCGAGGTATTCAGAACCAGGGTTGGTGGAAATGGGTGACTGTAGTATCAAGTAGGGCTAGGCTCTAGATCATCGAGGATAGTCCATTCTTGTTGCGATGTAATGACACTCTTGAGTCAGCATCACTATGTGACGCGCGGAACAGTGAAGCTTCAGTAGAATCTGGGTCCATCATCTGTCACGATTGAATCCGTTCTATAAAACCCGCCGATCACTGAGCAGACGGGCTATCCTCAAGGTCATACGGATCTTTTTATCCATTGTTGAAGAAATATCACGATCTGGTGACAAGAAATCCCCCGCGTGGGTTGCCCCCGGATCATGGTGTGCATTTCGAGATCAGTCTGATTCTGGAGCAAAAGGCTTCAATGACTTTTGGTGCGACGTCGGAGACGCTTTCTTCAATCTAAAGTTTGAAGCTTAGTTTTAGCAGATACCATTTCATCAACTTTATGTATCAGAAAAGCGAATGATTAGTGGGGTATGCATGCTTATGATATGCTACGCGTAACCCTTGTTCTGGTGCAAGCGTTGAGTTCTATGAGAACGTGCTGCAGCACAACGTAGTCCATTAAATGTTTTCAGTGTTCGATCTGGCTATTAATATCCTCAGCAGCTGACAAGAGACAATGATATCCGTCTCACTGGAGTGGGTATTCTGCGCGGGATGCTCTTATTGTGATAATTTCTGCCCCAGTAACTGTATAACACACTAGTTATGTTTAATCGTCTGGAGACGCAGCTGTTTAGCTGCATCATACTGATACACAAGCGTACCTCAACAATAAATCTGTTTATGGTCGTGTAGATCCCAAAGTTTCGTTGTTGTAAAACCGCATTATACACTTGCGAGCATTGCGTAGACGTTCAAGGCAGCGGAAATTTTGCTCTATGTCTTTCTCAATTGCGATTTTGGCATTTCTGTGCTGAACAAAACACTCTATAAATTGTAATGAATGGCTCCATTTGTCTTGAACGATATCACCACCATCTAAGATGGCTGAATGTGGATATGTCATTCTCACTAATTCACCCTCACACGTGGCAATAGGCAACGTTTGGCCAGCTTTTCTGACATAACAAAGCA